CTTTTTACCTTGTACTTGTTTTCGCTTTTTGACGATAGTGAACTTTAGTTTTTAAACGAATTCAAGTCTTCAATGTTTTTTTTTGTTTATTTAAGTTTTTTTTTTTTTTATTTAAGTGCAGTTAAAATATTTTGATGGGAATACAATTTTTTCCGAACGTTCTATAAATAGGATCGCTTAATTCTCTTTTTTTTCCTGTAGTACATTTGTTATTTAAATATTGATATACCAAGTGTGTATATTTGAGTCTCTGAGTATATATTATATATTATGAGCACTTTGTAAAAAAAAAAAGAAAAAAAATCGGATTCATGCCAACTCTAATGATATCCGGTAAAATATTTTCGAAGGGCACCGATTTCCCGTGGAAGAAGGTTAGAGTACCCGTTTTGCATCGCGTGATGCTTACTGAAACCAGCTATTCTAGGATCACGTCATCCAACATTGAGATTCCTCGTCCTTGTGTAACGCCATTTCCAGAACGAGTTTCGCAACGCTTCGACGCGGATCTTCGCACTCTGAATTATTGCCCGCAGTGGTTATAACTATTTCGCCTTATTAAACCTAAATAAAGAAATTTAATTCATTAGGATTTAATCGGGAGAGTATTTACTCAGGAGGTTATGAACTTTAATGCTCCAAATCATGTGGAAATCATTTCCAGAACGAGTTTCGCTCTTTGATTAGGATTTCATCTAGGGGGGTATTCATTCAGGAAATTATGGATTTTAATGCTCCAAATCACATGGAAATCATTTCTAGAACAAGTTTCGCAACGCTTCGACGCGGATCTTCGCACTCTGAATTTTCGACCGCAGTGGTTATAACTATATATTGGATTTACAGGCTGTATATAGAACTATGTAAATAATATTTTATGAATATTTTCAATTCTGTACGCGAGTTTTTTCGGGAAGACCTTCACAGTTGTCAATGTTGCTGACCATGATCGACATGTTTTTTTAAATATCATAAATGTAAACAAATTCACATTTGCGACGTTAAATTTGTACTTATTACCGCAGCTTTGTGTACTGAAGGTGTATGAATTTTTATGAATATTTTTAATTCTGTACGCGAGATTTTTTGGGAAGACCTTCACAGTTGGCAATGTTGCTGACCATGATCAGCATGTTTTTTTTAAATATCATAAACGTATAGAAATTCACATTTGCGAGTGTGATTTATACTTTTACCGCAGCTTTGTGTACTGAAGGTGTATGAATTTTTATGAATATTTTTAATTCTGTACACGAGTTTTTTTGAGGATATCTTCACAATTGTCAATGTTGCTGACCATGATCAGCATGTTTTTTTAAATATCATAAATGTAAACAAATTCACATTTGCGACGTTAGAATTGTACTTTTACCGCAGCTTTGTGTACTGAAGGTGTATACATTTTTATGAATATTTTTAATTCTTTACGCGAGATTTTTTGGGAAGACCTTCACAGTTGTCAATGTTGCTGACCATGATCGGCATGTTTTTTTTTTTTTTTCACCTGCTCATTACTGCTCGGTACTACAAGCTGTGCTCACAGAGCGCACTAAAGAACCACCGTTACCTAGCAGGGTCATTGACAGAATCGTGAAAGGAAACATTCGGACGACTTCTTGGACTAACAATGAGGAAATGGTCGAACGGTACCCAGGAGTTCGCGTCTGATTTGGAATTTGCACAATTAACCGTACCACCGAACCTGAAAGAATTACCTTTCTTACAAATCATTCATCGGAACGAGCTCATTAAGGCGATACGAAAGTGTGATATATATACATAAGAAAAAGTCAACATATTTATAAAACTTTTTTCCAAACTGATTGCACCGAATTATCTGAAACATTAGCACGTGAATATGTAGGTCATAAGGAAGAATGCGATGCTTATGAAATTTCATTTAAAAAAACAAAGGTCCTTTTTTTTAGTCCTTGTACGTGATAAATACAAATTTTCGTTTCCAAAAGTGAAATTTCACGAGCATCGCGTTCTTCTTTAGGGCCTCCATAATCTCGCGATTAAGTTTCAAATTCATTTTACATATATTTTGACTTTTTGGTACGTATATATCACACTTTCGTATCACCTTAAGGTGATGCGAAAAGGGCATCGAAGGGTCTCGTTAAATTATTTCCGAACTGGTTATACCTATTCATTTCGACCTTCACAACGTGAATACGGAGGCTATAAGAAAGGTCCGGACGCTCATGAAATTCCATTTTTGATTAAAAAAAAATTGGACGCGTGTAAACAAATTTTTTAAAAATTGAAATTTTATGGGGGTCAAGACCTCCCTTACAGTCTCTATGTTGACATTGTCAAGTTTGAAACGATTGGGTACACAGAGACCTGTTTGACGCCAGTTTCATGTCACCTTAAGGTGATACAAAAGGGTTGTAATATATATATTTGTTAAAATATATATAAAATATATATATATATGTTTGTTAAAATGTTTATAAAACTTTTCTCCAAACTGAGTGCACCGAATCATTTGAAACTTCAACGCGTGATTAGGAAGAGCCTAAAGAAAAGAACGTGATGCTCGTAAAATTTCATTTTTCACCGAAGTGTCTTATGCACTTCTATGCTAAAACGATGAGAATACGAGGTCTCGGAGTGAAAATTTAATTGACCTGAAAATCACAGATGGCGCAAGGGGTCCCTCTGCAGTCAAATAGAGCCTCAGAAAGCATGAATTCAGAGGATTTCTGGAGTTTTACTTCGATTTATTTATAATTATTGTACGAAAACGACAGATGTAGTATGCCATTTAGTACAATACTCAATATAATTCGACACGGCTGTCAATATAAAAAGGAACGTCGCCAACGTAGGTATTTAGAAAATTCTGTTTTACCGACGTCGATCAAGTTCCTCGACGTGTTTCATTTCACCTTAGAATCCGAGATTTTCTGAGTGAATACCACCTCGAAAGAAATCAATTTCTTTTAATCGAAGATATTGTTCTATCAGTTTTGGTGTGTACCCTTCCCCTGCTGTTTAAAAGTGCCAATGTTTTCATGTATATAAAGTTCATATTTTCATTCAGTTCATACACAACAACAGCACAGTTCATGCACAAAATATCAAAAAAAATATATATATAAAGAATAAAATTTCAATAAATCAGAAATAAATTCTGCAACAAATTTTTATTGAATTGTGCTAAAGTGGCAATGCCAGCTTTACGGATACCAATGTCTCTGCCAGGGGACAAGGCGAAGTGCAGAATCTAGGTGACACGTACAAAACGTTATATCGGTACCGGTGGCTGTAATTGTCGGTGGTAGGAGTGCACCAGTCATAGCCGATTATAGGCACCGCGGCATTGCACTCTGTGTACTTACAATGAGACGACCTCTCGAAAGAATGAACAGTGAATCAGTCTTGCGCAATGCGAATTTAGCAAACTACTCTAATTTTCGCATTGCTATGTTAATTGCGAACGCCTCACGTCCCACATGGAACCAGCTAATCGATTGACCTCGCGAAATTTCTGTCATTCAGCCGACCTGCAAGAAGACGAAAATGCTTAAATTGTTTAAAAAAAAAAAAGTTACCGTAATTTTATAACATTTTTTGGACATTTTTTCGCCGACATGGTATGCTAATTTTACAACAGTTGACAAAAAAAAGTTACCGCAATTTTATAACATTATTTCGGCATTTTTTCGCGGACATGGTATACTAATTTTACTGCAGTTTATTTATATATTCTGTAACACCCCATATATATACGTGTTATAAATTCTTAACAAATTCAGGACATGTGTATCAATTTTTTTTATACACTCCCAGAAGTTTATGACATACGAGATTATGAATTTATTTTGAAATTCGTGATGAGTGTACAGTAATCCATTTTTAAAACGTCAAACATATATAATTTTACTGCAGTCTTGTTTTACTAAAAGTGTGAAAATCTTTTGAATAATTAAAGCTAAGGTAAATGATCCCCTTCAAACGTAGTGTTTTTTTTTTCTTAATATATATAGTAAAAAAGCCAGGGTCAAGCTGTAGTTCATTAAGGGTATAAATATTACGCTGTATTTTAACCAGATAAAAAATTGATTCCAATTTTCTCAATTATGCCCGATACTATACATAAATCGTGAAATGCATAAATCAGAGCTGACACGTGATCGCGATAGTACTAATAAAGGTGATAATATCATTGGTCAATTGTTCTTTTAGGTGATTACATCGCAATTTTTTTATTCATTACATCGTTTCATAAACGTGTCCCAATGTCTTAATAAACTTTGCCGCATCGAAACCCTAAATTAAAAAATGTACAACTATATTACATCGTAGAGTAGGTCATCGCGTTCCTTTAGTACGTTTCTGAGTACGAGTTTCATACAAATAATGAAAATTAACATCGGCCGTTTTTTTGTCGTTACACTTCTTCGTTTTCATGGTATAAAAATACTACTATATGTTATCATGATATATAAATACTATTGTATGCAATCATGGTATAAAAATATTACTATATGTTATCATGATATAAAAATACTACTATATGTTATCATGGTATAAAAATACTCTTGACACCATTCGCATGAACTTTGTCGGTACAGTTCACATCGATGAGTCGATATCACGCATATTCTTTCGCGTGTCGTTCCGTCAGAAATATCGCCGACGATGACATTATCCACTGGGAATGGCCGACATAAAGAGTTACGAATAATTATTCCGAACGTAATGACGTGACGCGTAACTACCGTAGGACTTTATCGAGACTCATTCCTATTTATAAAGTTTGCGTTTCCTACGGCCACGGTGTTGGCTTCGTCAGTCTCTTAACGTTTTTCTGGGGAATTGGACGCCGTACAAAATGGCGCGCGCTTGTGTACACCTGCCCTGATAATTCCAGTAGATTCCTCCGAACCTGAGGGAAAAGGCATTACAAGTGATCGTAGAATTAACATTTACTCTCTGACCTGACGAACATGCAACCGCGAAGTGCAGCTGGTGCCTTAAATGTGTGCATTATGTGGCTTTTTATTAACTAGTTACTTTCCGGATTTCGGGATGAAACAATGTCGAGATATGGTGATATTCCCGAGGGGCGGGAACTTATAACGAATTCTTTCCTATTAGTGTTATTGTTCACGTTTACGGACGTCGTGGACCATTTGAAAGCTTTAACAGAACTTAACGGTATTTTCATAAGTTTACCTGATTTACTTATGCGTCTCTTTAAACGATCTAATGTCCTAAGAACTGTTTAAATGGCTGCTGTTTATTTTGGAGAATTTCTTTATTAATTTGATATTACTTTTTGATGATCTTCATTGGAATAATTATACCGAAACTTTTCTCAACGTATTTGGACAGCCTGGGCACGCGGAGTGTCTCCAAGCTTGGCGGCCATGACACTACGTCATCAGCCGATCGACCAATCAGATCCCTTCTCGGAATGTTCAGCGCGAAATTTCAATTTCTAATTCATACGCAGTCGATAACATATTTATGAATATTTCTAGTATTTTCTATTCAAGTAAGGTTATTACATGTATTGCAAACGGTAACATACGATGGGGATGATAAATTTCTTTTCTAATAAATAGGGCATTGTTTGACAATAGGTATTGAAAATCTTGAATTTAGATTAACTCTGATCTTTGTTAATTAATTGTATCTTGATGATCATTTAATGATTAATCGACAGTTCGTAACATTTTGGCGCGTAACTTAAAACATAAACTCCGATTAAATCATTTTCAACGTCGGAACTGCCTGCAGAAATAATAAACAATATTTAACAACGGTTCAATATAAAACTCTAAGTGAAATTTTGCGGTTTCGCGTGGAAATAAAACAATATATCTTTGTATAGTTTATAATTTCTTTGTATATATTTTGTATGTATACAAAACGTGAAATTTCATTTTTCGAATAAAAATCTTTTGGTTCTTGTTCGAAATAAATACAAATTTGTTTTCCTAAAAAAAAATGAAATTTCACCGGGATCGATATGAAAGGGTCATATCACCTTCAAAGTATATACTGTTTAATAAATATCTTCACGTTTTGACGTACATAGATATATCATCATATATACATATCAAAAAGTCAAAATATTGATAAAACTTTTCTCCAAACTGGGTGCATGAAATTATCTGAAACTTTAACACGTGATTATGGGAGATCCTAAGGTAGAAAGTGCTGCCCGTGAAATTTCATATTTTGAAAGAACAAAAAAAAATCTTTTGGTTAAGTACATTTTTTTTTTTCGAAAAAAGAAATTCCATGAGCATCGCGTTATGTCTTAGGGCCTCCGTAATTACTTGTTAATATCTCAGATAATTCGGTCCACCCAGTTTGGAGATATGTTTTATTAATATTTTGACTTTTTGGTATGTATATATGAACAGTTTCGTATAACCTTAAAAATATCTCGTTTGAGACGGACATTCTTTCTCGTAGCGTTTGGAGATATGTTTTATTAATATTTTGACTTTTTGGTATGTATATATAAGAGTTTCATATAACCTTAAAAATATCTCGTTTGAGACGGACATTCTTTCACGTAGCGTCAGCTCCGACGAGTTAAATTTAACCTCTTCGTGGCTTTTAGGCTCTCGAAGGCCGCGTACTGCATAATTCTGAAGTAACGCCGAAGGTCGGAATATTTTTTCTCTCATTTTTTTTTGTTCAATCCCAACGCAACTCGGACTTCATATTGAATAAGTAGCTTCAATAAATGTGGTTAGACCCCTAGGCGCGCATCTTCTATTACAATACGTTGGTCCCGAAAGAATATCAATGACTTGACCTCATCTCTAGTACCTAACGAGCGGCAATGAACGTTACGATGGTGCATAACTAACGAGGAAGACGTGACACCTAAATTGTACAGTTTCGCTGTTACTTAAGGCGACATGAAAGTGTTTTATATATACACATACCAAAAAGTGTTATACAAAGTATTTATAAAACTTTCTTCCAAACTTGGTGGACCGAATTATCTGAAATATTAACAGGCAATTATGGAGGCCCTAAGATAACGCGATGTTCATGGAATATTTTTTTTTTCGCAAATTGGGCTCACCGAGTTATTCGAAACTTCATCACAATATGGAAGACCTAAGAAAGAACCCGATGCTCGCGAAATTTCATCTTTCGAAATATAATTTGTACTTTTCTCGAACAAGAGCCGTAAATAAGAGATTTTTTTTTTTTTCGAAAAAATGAAATTTCACTAACCTCTCGTTCTTCCTCAGGGCCTTCATTATCTCGTGATGAAGTTTCAAATGATTCGGTGCACCCAATTTGGAGAAAAGTTTTGTAAATATTTTGAACTTTGACACATATGTCAGTTTTTATATATATATGATGGATATATAATATGAAAGAACACGACGCTCGCGAAATTTCATCTTTCGAAATAAAATTTGTACTTATTTTGGACAAGAACCGGAAATAAGAGATTTTTTTTTTTTCGGAAAAATGAAATTTCACGAACAAATGGCACGGGAGGTTCCCCTGCAGTCAATTAGGGCCTCAGAAACCACGAATCCAGAGGATTTCTGGAGTTTTACTTCGATTTATTTATAATTATTGTACGAAAACGACAGGTGGAGTATGCCATTTAGTACAATACCCAATATAATTCGACACAGCTGTCAGTATAAAAACCAACGTCGGCAACGTAGGTATTTAGAAAAATCATTTATACCGACGTCGATCAAGTTCCTCGACGTGTTTCACTTCACCTTAAAACATTAATAGAATCTTGAAAAGGATTCATGACATCCTGCGGCGAAGAAGGGAAACCTTGCGGTTGACTAAACGCTCCAGTTCTTTATTTAATAATTTTTTTTTTTTTCTTATCGAATAATCTAAACTAGGTGCCCAAGGTCGTTCTGCTTGTAATGACCTAGGACGTGAAAGGCATAACTGCCGTGTATAAAGATACGAGTTGCGATGACGTTTTCCTCGCAAATTTTTTTTTATTAATAAAGGCCGCATGTAGTGAAATGTGATCGTTAATACGATCTGCTTGATATATCAGTTTAGCAACAGACGGTATTAATAGGATATTAATGCGGAGGATGTCCAGATTTGCATTCGTCTGTAACCTATTGCGCAACGCTTTGTTTACGATTTCACATTGTTAGGTTATGCTACAATGTGTCGCACGTGTGCCGAACAGATTACATAAAACGTCGTCGAAGAAACGTCGGACTGATCTTTATACATATCTTAAATGGAATCGTTCTAAAAAAGCATTTTAACCAAAGTAACAGAAAATATCGAGTTTACAGAATGCAACTTAACAATAGGTTTACGGGCGTTTTTTATATACCTGTTTCTACGAGCACCCATCAAATTGACGGATAAACAAAAACACGGATTTTCTTTAAAAAATCGATTTATTCAAATTAAGTCTGTACTAAACAACACTAGGCTTTACGTTTAAATAAATTATTAATAAGTAAAAAGTCCTTTTTTAAAAACTCGCGAAATTTCATTTTTTAGAAACTATTTTTAAAATACCTATAAACAAATTTGAAAAGAATTGAAATTTCATGAGTTTCAGGACCTTCCTTATAGTCTCCCTATTCGCGTTGTAAAGTTTTAAACCATTCAGTAAACCGAGTTGGGAAAAAAGTTTTATAAACAAAACCTCTTCGATGCCACTTTCACGTCACCTTAAGCAATATGAACATTGTCGATTTTACAAAATCATTACAGTTTCATATATATACTCGTAATCATGAGTGTTCTGAGAAAAAAATGTAAATAGAGAATTGTCCAATATTTTATGTTACAGATATTTAAATTACCCTAATGTAAAGTTGATCTCTCAACAAAAAAAAAAAATGACTAAGACCAGCTTCATGATTACGGGCACGTATTTTGTTGCCATTTTTTTCTTACAGTTAATTAGCGAAAATGTTGCAATCTTTGTTGCATCAGAGCAACTTGTTTAAAACTATTTAATCTTCTAAATAACTTATACTTTCTATTTTTTCGTTACATCATTTCTTGATTTAATAAGAAAGTAATAAGGAGCGTCATTGATTACCTGATGTAAAAGATAATGTAAAAAGGATATTATTTAAAAGAAATTAATAACTGACTTTCAAAGCTTATTTTAACATTCACAAAGGCTACATCCGTGTAATATATATGTACGTAGTATCTCTTTCAACGTTGTATAATCTTCATGTCAAATATTTCATTCCTAGCTTCAAGAGCTCGGAAAATGCAATAAGGTGACATATTTTAACGGTGCCATTTGTTAGAAAAAAAGAAAAATGTTATTTATCTTCGGTGACCTTTCAGTAAACCACAGTGTCTAAGTGAATGCATGTCCTTTGTTTGCGGAAGCTTGAAAATCGTTACTCAACGTGTTGGAAATTATGCCATTACTCAATATGGCGTCATCTGCAAATTGCATTCAATTATCATTAACTGTACGACCGGTCTCATTACCAGAAAATCGATAGAAGCATTACTATCGATTAGGTCCTGCTTTGTCCTAGTTTCTCGATTACGTGGTGGAAAACATACGCAATTGGCGTCGAGACGTCTGGGCGTCGTTTTCCTCCTCTTCTGCAGGGAACTCTTGCCGCCATCTTGGATATTCGTCAAAGTTACTCCGAACTTGTCGATGCATTTTCATAAGAGATTTTCGTGATCTTGACATTGCAGGCATGACAAAAAAGGTGCTTATGAATACTCCTTATATTTCATTGACACATTCGCTGTGTTACCGAAATAAAATGCCTATCCAGTAACGTGTAAACAATTTCGTAAATTGGATTCTTTCGAGACTGAGATACTTTAAAAATATTATCATTTCTTCGAATTATTGCCATCTCGTCCTTTACATAAACATGTATAAATATTCCTTACAAAATTAAATTTTATTCATTCCCCTATCGGCATTTAAATCAATTTTCATACAGTACTTACCTGTGCAATGTAATAACAAGTACATGGACTTTCACTTCAAAGACTGAGAAACTTCAAAAATATTATTACTTCTTAAAATTAGTGCCATATCGTCCTTTCCGTAAAGATATATAAACATTCCTAACAAAATAAAATTTCATTTGTTCCCCTATCGTTTATGCATCAATTTTCTTACAGTACTTATCTGTGCAACGTAATAACAAGTACATGGATTTTCACTTCAAAGACTGAGAAAGTTCAAAAATATTATTACTTCCTCAAATTAGTGCCATATCGTCCTTTCCGTAAAGATGTATAAATTCTCCTTACAAAATAAAATTACATTCAGTAAATACAGTGAAAAAAAAATTATTTGACCGGAATAGATATATATTGTTGCCAGAATCTTATATAACTGCAAGAAACCATAATTTTGTTGGAATGAAAAATTGATGTTGTTTATTTCAACTAATTTTGTCTCCTCAATCTGACATGTCCTTTAACGTATTTGATCGCAGGATATTGTTGTCGCAGTGCATATTTCTTTGAGTCAACTTGGTTTTTTTTTCTCAGTACGTACTTTACTAAACATCTTAAGGTGACATGAAGAGGTCATTATATATAAATTAATTAATTAATCAATACATATATACAAATTAATTCATTAATCAATACATATATATATAAATTAATTCATTCATTTATTTATATATATGTATAACGTCATAATGTCTATAAAACTTTTCTCCAATCTGGATGCACCGAATCATTTGAAACTTCAGCACGTGATTATGAAGGCCCTAAGGAAGAACGCGATCCTCGTGAAATTTCATTTTTCACAAAAAAATCTAGTCTAGGCTAGTCTAGGCTAAATGAAACATTTTTTTTTTTTTTTTAATGAAATTACAAAACCATCGCGTTCTTCCTTAAGGTCTTCATAATTATATGCCGAAGTTTCAAATGATTCGGAGCACCCACTTTTAAGAAAAGTTTTATAAATATGATGTGTTTTGATATATAGAACGACCCTTTCATATCACCTTAATGACAGTGAAGAAATTTTTCAGTATTTTCACCTTTATTCTATTTTGTTTTTTTTTTTCAGCTCTTTCTACGGAGGACAAGTTGGAGTACAATTTCTATCCGGTGTCCAGTGGCCAGGTCCAATTTCGCATAAAAGCACCGAATGATGCCCACATCGCACTTACAACTGGTCCGAATGAAGGGGACCCCATGTACGAGGTATCTCCCAATTTTCTTCCTATTCTTCTTCTTTTCGACTAACAATGTTCACTTAAGATGATACGAAAGGCGCTGAGAAATTTAATCGAGGTCGATTAATTAAAATTCATCTATACCCTTTATGGTGGTAGCGTAATTTTGAATACTCAAGTGGTAACATAAGCTGGCACGTCCCNGCAAATACTCGATCACTGCGCATCGCAGATTACTTTATTGAAGGGACAATGTAGATAAGTAGTTTAATGGACAATATTAGCTTGAACGTATCAGTATTTGTACTTAACTATTATTACTATTTTTGTGCAAATACTCGATCACTGCGCATCGCAGATTACTTTATTGAAGGGACAATGTAGATAAGTAGTTTAATGGACAATATTAGCTTGAACATATCAGTATTTGTACTTAACTATTATTACTATTTTTCTGCAAATACTCGATCACTGCGCATTACAGATTACTTTATTGTAGGGACAATGTAGAGAAGTAGTTTCGATGAACAATTTTAGCTTGAACGTATAATTTGTACTTAACTATTATTACTATTTTTCCGCAAATACTCGATCACTGCGCAGCCAGATGCATCGCGGGTTACGGTGATAGTACGTAAAGTATCATTATATGGGACATGCTCGCACCTCCTAGAAACATTTAGAATTGGCTTCAATGCACGCGTATGTTTGCTTTCTCCCCCAAGTTCTAACGTGAACACCGATTGATGTTCCATCGGCAATAAGTTTCCAAAATAGTTGCGCATCTCGCTGTATTAATCGCAAGAACATTGTACTCGTTATGACGTCGACCTAAAGGTATTAGAAAAATGGTCACCTCCTTTAAGTACAAATCGCCCATGAAATGGACTGATTAGTTAATCAGGCCCATTTCATCGAGTACCGCACGGAAAAATGAAAGGATGGTCAGGAAAACCCGCAATTGTGGTAATCGTAACCATGTTGCAAAGCTACATATAGGATAACCTTACCAAGAGGTGGCAACCGAAGTAACATAGTAAACAAAATCGAAGTAACCATTATTTCCTTGTTTGGTCAAGGTAACTACATGGTACTAGTTGTAAAATTACACTTATCGTAACTTCTCCACATAGTTGATATTACCTTTCCGAATGGTAATCACTGCTGCAACTTTTTCATGGATAGAGCAACTATTGGCGAGGTTACACTTACCATTCGATGGGATCACTCTCGTTATTCGTGTGGTTGATGTTGCAACAGTAACTATTGTAGCATTCGTGTGGTTCATATCGCAACAATAACTATTGTGGCACTCGTGTGGTTCATATCGCAACAATAACTATTGTGGCACTCGTGTGGTTCATATCGCAACAATAACTATTCTGGTATTCCTGGGGTTCATATTGCAGCAATATTGTTAAAACCATTGTTGCAACATGACACACACGAATAACGAGAGTGCTCCCATCGAATGGTAAGTATTCCTGTAGTGCACATTGCAACAATAGTTAATCCCATGGCTCATATTGCAACAATATTTCCGCCATGTTGCTGTAATTACTGTATACAAATAATTCCCCTTTTTTCCGTGCGTCGACTCATAGAGATTTCATTTTCCAAGGACGTAAATCGCTGAAGACCTCCGATGAACTTAAGTACAAGTTCCACGCTGTACGGAGTGGGGCCGTGGCAATTGAAGTCAAGGCCAAAAGTAATGCGCACATTGCTTTGACACAGTCCAAGGGCGAGTCCAGCCCCATGTACGAAATAATGCTCGGGGGATGGGAAAACACCGCATCCGTCATCAGATATGATCGCAAGCAGCCTGATAAGGTCCGCTGAAATACTTCCTGATCTTAAGGCCGGTTTTATGAACACCTTCGTATCGAATAACCCGGTGGAGTTTCGCGCCAAGTACACACTACGCGCCGAAACGCCCTGCTGCGACTCTATACGTCAATGATCTCCATCAAAATGATCAATGAAAATTTAATTGACCTGGAAATCACAGATGGCGCAGGGGGTCCCTCTGCAGTCAATTAGGGCCTCAGAAACCATGAATCCAGGGGATTTCTCGAGTTTTACTTCAATTTCTTTATAATTATTGCACGGAAATGACAGAGTATGCCATTTAGTACAATACCCAATATAATTCGCCACAGCTGGGAATATAAAAACCAACGTCGGCAGAGTGGGTATTTAGAAAAATCTTCTTTACCGACGTCGATCAAGTTCCTCGACTTGTTTCACTTCACCTTAAGGGAATGTGAAAGTAGCATCTTAAAAGTCAATCGTCCATGAAACTTTTCTCCGAACCGGGTGTCCCGAATCGTGTCAAACCATACAAAGTAAATGTAAAAGCTCTAAGGAAGCTCTCAACCCTCATGAGATTTCATTTTTTGCAACAAATTTTTTTAAACACCTATGAAGAAATTTTTAACAAATTGAAATTTTATGACTATCAGGACCTTCGTTATACCCTCCGTATTTATATTGTAGAGTTTGAAACGACTTAGTATACTCAGTTTGGAAAGAAATTTCATAAACGAGACCTCTGTGTCGTTTGTGTTTCACACCACCTTAAGGTGATGTGAAAGTGGCGTTGAAGGGGTTTTGTTTATAAAACTTTTCCCCCACCTCGGTTTACCGAATAGTTTGAAACGTTACAACGTGAATAGGGAGACTTTAAGGAAGGTCCTGAAAGTCATGAAATTTCAATTATTTTGTTCTCCTTCAATTTGTTTATATTTATATTTGTTCTCCTTCAATTTGTTCTTCAAGTTGTTCTCTTTCAATTTGTTATCCTTCAATTTGTTCTCCTTCAATTTATTCTCCTTCAATTTGTTCTCCTTCAATTTGTTTATAGGTATTTTAAAAATAGTTTATAGAAAAGGAAATTTCACGAGTTTCAGGACCTACCTTAGGGTCTCCATATTCATGTTTTAAAGTATGAAACAACTTGAGACACCCAGTTCGGAGAAAAGTTTTATGAACGATTGAGCTTTCAGATGCCACTTTCACATCCCCTTAACTTCTACACGATTCACCTTTTATATAACATGCATTGGTACTGTTCGTCATTCTGAAAAATGTTAAAATGTTAAAATAACGAAGGGAATTCATAAAACCGGCCAGAGAACGGTAACATATGGGCAGAAAGAGATGAACTTAAAAGATTGATTTTGGGTTAGGTTCGCGTAGACACCCCTAATCTTCTCAGCCCGAACGAGCATAAGAGATTCTCGATCTCCTGGCTCGATGGCCACGTCGTTGTCAGGGCTGGCAATCAAAGCGGTCCTGTCATTTTGGAATGGCAGGATCCGAACCCGATCGGCGTCAGCCATGTTGGCGTTCGCACCGGTTGGGGCGCCACCGGCAATTGGAAACTCCATTTCGAACCCCACCAAGCCGTTGGGCCTGCTCCAAAGCGTAATTACCTTTGTTTATCTTTATTTATATTGCCTGCAGATGCTAAAGATATCGTGTCTTGAAGGCGCATCCCTTAAGGTGAAGTGAAACCCCCTTCAAATCAGTCAATTCTAATACAACACTTTTTTTTAAGGGTATTAGAGTAAACAGTTCGAAACTTTGACACATTACTCGTGATCATCGAAGAATTGCCCTGTCACGTTAAAAACTTGGATTTTTAGAAAAAATCTTTTAACTTAACCTAGACCAGAACGAAAATGGCGTCGAGCTCACATATTTCGATCAATATACAATTATCGAAGGCTCTGATATGAGAATCCAAAGGGTCAGGACAATTTTACGACAATTTAGAACACTCTGGTAGTCGATAAACTCGCATTTCAACGGGATAAAGGCAAAAAAAGTGTTGTATGCGCTTCTATGCTAAAACGGTGGTAATACGAGGTCTCGGGGTGAAAATATAATTGACCTGGAAATCATAGATGGCGCAAGGTGTCCCTCTGCAGTCAATTAGGGCCCCAGAAAGCATGAATCCAGAGGATTTCTGGAGTTTTACTTCGATTTCTTTATAATTATTGTACGAAAACGACAGGTGGAGTATGCAATTTGGTACAATACCCAATATAATTCGACACACCTGTCAATATAAAAACGAACGTCGGCAACGTAGGTATTTAGAAAAATCTCTTTCCTCGACGTGGATCATGTTCCTCGACGTATTTCACTTCACCTTAAAGTGAAGTGAAACCCCGTTCAAATCAGTCGATTCGAATACAACACTTTTTTTAAGGGTATCAGACCAAACTGTCCGAAACTTTTACACATTACTCCTGATCGTCTAAGAATTGTCCTGACACATTCGAAATTTGGATTTTATAATTTTTAAATAATTTTTTAACCTAGTTCAGGCCAGAACCAAAATGGCGTCGAGCTCTCATATTTCGATCCATATACAATTATCGAAGGCTCTGATATGAGATCTCGATAATGTTTGGCCATTCTATCCAATTTACGGATTTTATTTACATCGCTCATTTCTTCCGACATCTTGAACAAAATAGAAATGAAGGCATATTGTTGCTTGGACTTGGGTTTGGATTCATCCTTGACACGATGCTTGTTTTGCTTAACAGCAGCCCAATCTAATTGCATCTTTCGTTCATGGATTTCGACGTGTTCTCCATCTCACCAAAACTCCATCTTAACTGCTTATTACCATGAACAAAACGAAACTTTAACCATCTACATTACATCCCCCTATTTCATATAAGTGAACAAATTTCATCCTGTGGAATTCTATTAAAATAACAATGACTGCTACAAAGTCGGAGTATCCTGATAATTTTGGGAGAAATTTCACTGCATTATTGTAAACTGGAATAACCTGCCCAGGTAGAAAAACCATATTGCTTAAATATTGGTTTTAGTACGTATAAATATTGGCGATATAACGAATTCGAATATTTACCCAATATAATTTATGGCCGTTACGGGAAACTATACCGATGTGCATATTTGAAGGTGGGAAAATATGGAAAATATTTTTACCAACGATTGCAACGCGGGTTGTTAGAGCAAAAATATTAGTTGCAGCTAAACGTCACAGATGGCGTCGTTGGTCCTGAACAGTCGATAGAATAATGAATTCCCGGGATTTCGACAGTTTTACGTCGATCTCTTCATCATTACTTTCCTGAAATGACATATGGAACGCTTCAGTTCGTATAATTCTCAACGTAGACTGTAAAAGACTTCAACATTAATATAAATGTCGATAACGTGACGCGTAAGCTTATCTACCCACTAGAGTATTAGGAATGGCATTACCATCAAATAGGGTATAGATGAATTATATTTTATCGACGTCGATTCAAATTCCCCGCGCCTTTCATATCATCTTAAAATCCACAATTTCCCGAGTGAATAACCCCTCGTTGCTGGTAGTTGATTGCACGTGCTTGGAACCCTCGCTAATGTAAGAAAATGAAAAATCCCTTTCCGTGACGTCTTCGATCCACTTAGCGACAAGGGCTAAATTCCGGTGACCGGTTGCGGGAATATGAGCCACACGGCTTAGAGCGGATCGAGGCCGTTGCGAGGAAATACTATTCAAAGAGGTTAAGGGGATGTGAAAGTGGCATCCGAAAGCTCAATCGTTCATAAAACTTTTCTACTCACAAGGTGTCTCAAATCGTTTCATACTTTAAAACGTGAATATGGAGACCCTAAGGTAGGTCCTGAAACTCGCGAAATCTCATTTTTTATAAACTATTTTTAAAATACCTATAAACAAATTTGAAAAGAATTGAAATTTCATGAGTTTCAGGACCTTCCTTATAGTCTCCCTATTCACGTTGTAAAGTTTCAAACTATTCGGTAAACCGAGTTGGGAGGAAAGTTTTATAAACAAAAGCTCGATCGTTCATGAAACTTTTCTACTAACAGGGTGTCTCAAATCGTTTCATACTTAAAAACGTGAATATGGAGACCCTAAGGTAGGTCTTGACACTCGCAGTCTCATTTTTTATAAACTATTTTTAAAATACCTATAAACAAATTTGAAAAGAATTGAAATTTCATGAGTTTCAGGACCTTCCTTATAGTCTCTCTATTCACGTTGTAAAGTTTCGAACTATTCGGTAAACCGAGTTGGGAGGAAAGTTTTATAAACAAAACCTCTTCGACGTCACTTTAACATCACCTTAAGGGGGTTTAAAAGTGGTAGCCGAAAGCTCAATCGTTCATAAAACTTTTCTACTAACAAGGTGTCTCAAATCGTTTCATACTTTAAGACGTGAATATGGAAACCCTATGGTAGGTCCTGAAACTCGCGAAATCTCATTTTTTATAAACTATTTTTAAAATACCTATAAACAAATTTGAAAAGAATTGAAATATCTTGAGTTTCAGGACCTTCCTTATAGTCTCTCTAATCACGTTGTATAGTTTCAAACTATTCGGTAAACCGAATTGGGAGGAAAGTTTTATAAACAAAACCTCTTCGACGCCACTTTCACATCACTTTAATCGGATTGTTAATGGCCAATCTTTCTCAGATCCTAGCAGCGGCCTTCCTACGCCATCGGCTCCGGCACAGATTCAAGATGGCGGAAAAGTGCATTGGGTCGACGCTGCCGGTGGTATGGTGCCTCCGGGCGCGGTCGAGGGTGGCAACGACGACGGGCCTCTATTCGTCGGCAGAGCTAGTCACGAAGGAGCTCTGATTCCTGGCAAGGTCAAACCCACCCACTGCGTCTGTTACGTCCCATGGGGTGGCGAAGAACACGGGAAATCTGATTACCAGGTGAGTGTCCACGTGATATCTGCAGAGAAACAACGACTGCCTCTCCATCGTCCTCGAAATCCGGGATTTATCAGATCTAAGCCCAGTAAATCCGAATTTGACCCTTTAAACACGGAGCCATTTCGACATAAGGGTGAAATTCGTCTGACCGTGCAGGCAATATTGGACCAAACGGGTATTTTAAAAATAGTTTATAGGAATTGAAATTTCATGAGTTTCAGGACCTTCCTTATAGTCTCCCTATTCACGTTGTAAAATTTCAAACTATTCGGTAAACCGAGTTGGGAGGAAAGTTTTATAAACAAAAGCTCGATCGTTCATGAAACTTTTCTACTAACAGGGTGTCTCAAATCGNTATGTATATCATTAATCCGTGTTAAACGCCGTAATCCTTAGTTACTACTTTGGGATTCCCTAAACCCCATGGAAAATTCCAATTTGCTGGTAGGATTCAACACAACTTTTCCTACATTCACATTGTTCTTAGTTAATTTCTGAATGTTGCATTTTAACCTTAAGATGATTTACAATAGATACTAAAAAGGAAGAACATTACTATACATTCCTTTATTCCACAAATTATAGGTTGATATGTTTTGCAAACCCCATAATGTGTTAACCGAAAGGGCAGAATTTATATATATATATATAATTATTTATTTATTCGTTTGCACTCTGAAGGGCATTTTCTGTTTCAGGTGTTCATCGGCGGTTGGGGAAACGCTAAATCGGTAATCCGTAAAAACAGAACCAAGCCTGAAGTTGCCGAGGCCGAAACTCCAGGAATCTTGAGTGCCGACGAACTTCGAGGCTTCTGGATTAGGTACGGAAAAAACAATTTTTTTTTATCTTTTTTTCCCATTACGAGTCATTGCTTCCTTAAGATGATATGAGTCAGCCTATATATATATCATATACGTATATATGAGAAGGCAAATGGTTGGGGAAAGTATTCTCCGAATTTGGTGTACCGATTCGTTTCAAATTTTACCACGTGAATATCGGAGGCTACTAAGAGCGCCTAAAGGCGCCCGACGTTTGGTCCAATATTGCCTGCACGGTCAGACGAATTTCGCCCATATGTTGAAATGGCTCCCTGTTCAAAGGGTTAAATCTTACTTTGCATAGGTGGCAGGATGGAACCATCAGAGTGGGAAAAGAAGGCGAAGCAAGCCCCTTCCTGAGTTATTCGGACCCTGAGCCTTTTGGAATCGGTTATTTTGGGGTCTGTACCGGCTGGGGAGCCTCTGGTGAATGGCTCATCGAAGGTTAGTATTCTTCTTTCATACCAATACAATCAAATGGATGCATTATTACAGGGTTGCATTTAGAATGAAACGTGCATTTGTTCTGCCTGGTCTGAGCGCAACAGTAGCTAGGCAGTAAAAATGTGAAGTTATTATTAATTAGGAAAAAGACGTAGAAGTTTAAAGTAACCAATTTATTATAGGGACAATGTAGATAAGTCGTTTCGATGGATCATTTTAGCTTTAACGTATGAGCACTTGTTCCTAACTATTATTAGTACTTTTCCGCAAATACTCGATAACTGCGCTGCTAGATGCATCGTGGGTTACTTTATTATGCCCACAATGTAGATAAGTAGTTTGATAGACGATGTTAGCTTTAACGTATGAGTATTTGTTCCTAACTATTATCACTATTTTTCCACAAATACTCATTCACTGCGAAGCCAGATGCATCGCAAGTTACTTTATTGAAGGGACAATGTAGATAAGTAGTTTCGATGAACAATTTTAGCTTGAACGTATCAGTATTTGTACTTAACTATTATTACTATTTTTGTGCAAATACTCGATCACTACGTATCACAGATTACTTTTTTATAGGAACAATGTAGATAAGTAATTTAATGAACAATATTAGCTTGAACGTATCAGTATTTGTACTTAACTATTATTACTATTTTT